TTTGAGGGAAACAGTCCCTAATCATAACTCTTTGTTGCTCAGACAGTGTTTCATTTCAATGTATTTTTTTGTCCAACAAAACCACAAGTTCATTGGTTATTGCCCCTCTACTTCTTCTCTAGAGCTTGACCTTGGCCTTGGATATTAATTTCTAGTGCCTTTCTCTTGAATTCCCTTGTTTTCTAATTCAAGAAATAACAATAACACTTTATATGCCTATAAAGCTTCATATCTTTTCAAGATACTTCTACGTCCACTAGCTCAAAACTATTCAGAACCTTGATCTTGCTTTTCATTTTTATTTTCACTGCCCATGATACCATTTGATAATCATTTTTCCTACAACTGTGAATGAGATTTTGAATATGGATCAATTTTATTTCTGATGTGAATTATATTAAATAACAAAGTGTTTATTTTTCAAGTAGGTATGTATCATTATATTATCAAAAGGCTTAATTATCCACGGATGAAAATTAAGTTTCATAAACTTTTCTTTGAAAAATTGAAGGCTTGGTAGAGAAAACTGCATGAATATAAGTCAGAAATTGAAAAATTCATTTATATAAGGTTTATGTAGTCAGACGGAAGGCAAAGATTTCTTTTACCTAGGGGTGAGTCTTTGGTGAGAGGAAATGAACAAAACTATAAAGGTAAACATTAGGTACTGTAAAACACACCAGGCAATGAATCATAAGCACTTACTTGCATTAACGGCTATTCCATAGGCGACCAGTTTGTGGAATTTGAGGTTTTTGTCTAATTGTCTTCTCCATGGTCCTCTGCAGCACTAGAGGAGCAAAAATAAAAGTCTTGGCTAGGGACAAATCATAGCGATGACAGTGTCATGAGAGTTAAGAGGGCAGGACTAGTGCTCTGCCTCTAAATTACTGAAGGTGGGGCTATGCGACACAAAAATTAGTGGCCATTCATTAGTCTAACAGGCAAAACCAAACTGTTATTACTGGCTTTTCTGAAACTTCAACACAATAAAAATGATTGAGTTAGTAGTACCCTGGCTGTAAGTCGGGAATGAACCTGCTAATATCCATGCTTCAGCTTATTTGGCAAAGGAAGATAACCATCATCATCATTGATGTTGTTTATAGTCTATAAATTATTCCTCGTTACACAAAGCAAGGCATTATAGTCATATCTAAATATTTATAAAGTTATGATGAGCATATAATAATTTTGTTTACTAAAGATTATTGAAGGTCTCATTTTTCTGTGCAGAACATTTACTCTGTTTAGCAGGAGACACACATAAGTACCCAACACAGCGAAATCAATATAACTAGGAAAGATTCCATTTTGTCTGGTAGGGGTTAAAATCTACATACTACAATCTGTGTGCTGTGATTGTGCTTTCTGGGGCTGAGAACTCAGAGCAATGTTTCCATAGTGGCATTTGGCTCAGCGCATATTTGTCTCCTTTCAATTGGAAATGGTAGTAGTTCAAACTGTTATAATACTCCCACTTTCATGAGTCAGGTCAATTTTATTAGCTCTATTTTTCAAATGGAGCAAATGCATCAGAGGAGTCCAATGGCAGAAGCAAAAGTCAAGTCAGATGTACCAATTTCTGATTTTCATCTTTAGCCTTCATGTTCTCACTTACAAAGAAGCAAACCTTAATCTAAATACAATTATTGGGAATTTCATAGTAAAGTACACCTCTGTTTTCAATGGTACTTACATCAGTACGTCATAACAACTGATGTTATTTCAAATAATTTAGTACTTACGATACTTGCTCCTCTTATAAATGAAATGAGGTTTCGACTGATTGGTAGTAGAATTAGCATGCAGTTAAAATTCAGGCAGACTGCAGATGCTCTTGCCCAAGCCAGTGTTGACTGTTCGTATGTAAAGATACGAGAAAGAGATACAGTGAAAACCAGAAAGCTGGGCCAATAGAATGCATTTTGTTTTCAGAAATGATAAAGTCACCAACCCTACTTACACCCAGAAGCACTCGTGTATAAAAGAAAGACTCTTCTGCTGCATACCAACAGAATGTGTCGATAAACAGATATACGTTAACTCCCAACCAGGAGAGCTAGAATAGAATGAAAAGAGAGCCAATCAATGCTGTCTTCAACCTTTTCTTCTTTTCAGAATCACTTGGGGTTCTCCTTGTGGCCCAGTTCAAGTGAAATGAGCGTCTTGATATTAATCAGAATTACACCATATCATTATTTTATTGGCTGGTTCTTAACAGTAATTATATTGGTAAGAAATTTCTACCTTTATACAAAAGATTTTTAACACACATGGGCATTCTTTACAGAATTTTATGAAAAGCATAAAACCCTCTTAATCAACATTGCTATGATGTTTTAAGTCAATGGTGTCAAGAAGGAAGAAATCTTTAAAAACAACTCAGAAAGCACTCTAGAAAAATTCCAATCTCACAGCCTAATTCAAAGACTTCATTTGATTTAGAGAAACATTCATACATTATGCAAAATCAAACTACTTGACTTTAAAAATAATTTTAAAAAACTCAATTGGAAAACAACTTTATATGATTCTGTAAGGATAAATTAAATATAGCTACTGAATGTTTTCTAACAAGTTATAGTTTTTTAACCAGGGTAATACTTGAAGCTATTTAGCATTCCTATCCAAGTTATCTTAAAAATTAAAGACTATTCAATATGTATTTAAAGTTGAATAACAAAAACAAAACTTACTGCTAACATGACAGAGATACTCTCATTCAACATCCAGCACCCCATCATGACAGCTTTGTTCTCTTGCTGTTGGCAAATTATTCTTTCATTCACCTGAGTAGTATCCTTCGCAAGGGCTCCTCTGCTAAATTATTTTGTCTTAGGAAGCACCTACTGGGAGCAGCTCTCGAGGAATTTCTAATTAAGGACTTCTTGCCAAAGGCACATCACCAAACTGACATGCCTCATGACCTGGGTGAATACAAGGCAGGTCTCTGACTAATGATTCCTTTCTTCAAAGATCTCATAAGGAAAGAAAGCTCATTTTATTAAATTATCCCCATGTACTTTATACCTCATTCATTTTCTACATGATTGAAGTCAAGATGATAATAAGTCTTTATGTAAATATGAGAAATAACCTAACTGCTGAATGTTAGATAGAGCAAAACACTTCACAAGAGCTTTCTCTACTTTGTTTTTCTTCTTCTTTACTTCCCTCGCCCCTTTTAAAAGCTCTTTTAAAAGATATAGAGTGGCGAGTAAGTAAATATGAGTGAAACAATCTTTCAGAAGATGGTGAAGAAAAAGATCTTTAAAAACATCACGTACAGGAGAACTCTCAAATCTAACAGTATGACTATAAAGAATAAAGCGATTGTTTTTGTGGGATTGATGAAATAAATCCTATTTTTTCCTAATCCCGCTGGGTGCACCCATGAGGTGAACGAGGATATTCCTTTGTGCTTAGTGATCCCAGGAGTGGCCGTCCATGAACCTGGCCGTTCTCTGAGTTCATGTAACACAGCGATTAACTACAATAACTGTGACCACTCAGGTAGGCAAAGTGGTCCCGATTGAAGCAGTTTTCCGGCTGGTTCTAGCCCAAATGTTTTATTGAAAATTTTCAGACAATTAAGAAAATAGAAGGACATTTGAATTATTTGAATAATTGCTACGCTTTCTAGGTCCTTGTGGTGAATCTGTTTAGTTGTTCATAAGAGTGCAACATTTTCAAAAACCTGGTAAGAATAATAGTTGGGTATTTATTGACCTAAATCATCTTCATCATCATCATCATCATCATCATCATCCTAAATCTTCAATAAATAATCCAGGTACTATGTTAAGAACATTTCAAGTATTGTCCAATTAAATCACACAGTGAGTCTGTGAGGTAGGTATTGTAGGCCCCATTACACAAGTGTGGAAACAGACCCTATGATGTAACTTGCAGTAGGAACAGTTGGGACATGAACTCAGTTCTCCCTAACTTAAGCATCTTCATTTTAAATACTACCTTATACTGCATATTTTATGAAATATTAATATATGGATTTGTGCATCAAACATACCTCGCATACAGATATTAATGTCATGCCTGTAAATTGGACACATTATAGGAATGCATTTAATTTAATTTATTTATTGCAAATATATGTGTTGTTATCTGTGATTAATTATGCTATTTCTACATGATTCCAATATAAAACCGAATAAAGTTATCCCACTATATGAGATGTTTTTTATTTTTTATATAAAAAGATGTCATTAACATCTTGGGGCCTTGCTGACACAAGGCAGGGACTGCTGCTTCTAGGATCAGCTAATTCTTAGTGATAGCAAACAACTTGCATGAGAACACATCTGTGATGTGCAAACAAGCCAACCCAGAGCCCGTACCGCCAATCACCTCCTTTATCAAGCTTTCACATACCAGTTCAACATGCTGTCTACCCTGTGTCACCCCAAGGCCAGGTACAGGACAACTAGGGAGGACCCCTCCAGCCCAGAGCCTACTGAATTTCTTTAAACTATTCAATCTGAAGCTTGTTCAGCTTGCCATCCTATCTTGCTCATTCTTTCCTGCAAAAACCGCCATAAAGGCTCTGGCCCATGCTCTCCCCTTTGCTCCTTCTGCCTCCTGACTGACCCTGGTGCTTCCCAGTGTGGCCCTGCGTGGTGTGGTGTGTCCCCTCCTCTAGGGAACTATAGGTAAAAACTCTTCTTTCTAGGCAGATGTCTCCATGTCTACCATCTTACCACACTCGAGGAGAACAAATTCCAGGTACATTTTTAAGACACCTATATTTCTAACCATTTTGAACTTCGGTATTACAGGTTAAGCATTTTGACGAATGGTTGAGCTTCCTACTTGTCATCAGCCCTGACTGTGTTAGCACTTTTGAGCCTTATTTTCCATATTTGTTTAATGGGGGCTAATTGTAATATCTGCCTCACAAAGCCAATCCCATTCCTCCTTCACCACCACTTCCCCTAAGACACACACACATACACCCACACACTCATAAACACATGTATGCACACCCACACACGAGAGGATGCCTCTTAGATTTGCCAATAAAAATTTAGCAAATTTTGTTTTCTTTAGAAAAGGACATTTTTTTTAAAGGAAATCTCCCTTTAGAAATATATATATATAAGTACAGGTATTTTGGAAGAATTAGCCTGAGGTTAGAGTGCAGTCAGTGAAATATCTTCAGTTGCTTCTTTAACAGTGAGTGATATAAAGATGTAAAGCCTTCATATTCATTTCTTTAAGCCAATAATCTTCCATGATGAAATGATTTGTTATTTCTGAAGTGTTTAGGATTTACATATCTTAGAGGCCTTATTCAGTTGGGTTATAAAAATTAATTCAGAGAGAATGCACCTAGAATTTTATACTATCTTTTCTAGTTTAGATTCAGTGAGCGTAAGGGAGAGTTGGAATTTGCTCGCCTTCTGTGCTCTTCACACAGCGTTACAAATGAGAGGCATATATTGCTGAATAATAATGTGTGGTCACATTTTTTGTTGTTGTTAATTGCTTAGAATAGTCCCAGCGGTAAAGATAAAATGTAAAGGCTTAGGTTCAAAAACATATCTTTGTATGCTCTATTCTTATTTCTTAAATGTGTTTATTCCTCATTTTGAATATGTAAAGATACATTGTGTTAAAGTATAGCTATTTTTCATTTATAGTGTATAAAAATGGTTCATTGTTGTATTATGGAAGTATAACTCATGACTTAACTTCAGCATTTTTCTTCATAGATTTTATTTTTGTAGAACTTGCATGATATTTAGTTGACTCATAGAAAAAGGTGAACTTCAAATTATATTCAAATTCATTCAGAGCTCAGTATTTTTGTGCAGCTGATAGACATACCTTTTCTTCTCAACTGTTTTATTTTCCCACTTACGAATAATCTGATGAGCCACTGATTGGTTTACAATATTTCAATCAGACTTCATAAAACTCAAGATAGAATTGGACCAACTTCATAGCACTGCCTCTAAAGAGAGAGGAAATTGTACAAAATCTATTCAAACGGTATAATTGCTCGGAATTTGATCGAGTCTCAACTAATTGTTTTCATTGCTCATAGGCAGTGCTCATTTTATTCCTCAGAATTTTCTCAGAACAAATGCAGTGAAATGTGCGTGGCTTGTTTCCAAGGCGGGTAGTCCTTCTTAATCAAATGGGTGTGTTCATTGGCCCTTCCAACAAACCCACAAAAAATGATGTGGGCCTTTTTCCTTGTAAAGATCGCCAATATCAAACTTTCTATAATGAGAAAAGTAGGAGGGAAACAGAACAAAGATGTTTAGGAAGGCAGGTTAATTGCCTGTGTATATGAGCACAAACTACACTGCCCAAGCTACATTCCTGGATTCGATTTGCTCTATTACATTTTTAGTCCTTTTTAGTTTCTTAGTTAAACAGTTGACCCAACAAAGAAACAGTTTGATCCTCAAGGGCAAGATTGATCATCTAGTAGAGTTTGCTGCTGCATACTAAAATCTAAGTTCCCTGTAGATATAGCAGAGTTCACAGAGTATAAAAAGAACATTGCCAAATTTTCCTCTTCTAAGCATTAAACATGTTTTTGCCTTTTCCTAAAAGCATTTATAAACATCTAAGTATTACACTGAAAAGAGATGACTAAAATAAAGAAAACATACAAACACATAAAATTTCAAATTCTTAACTTGGTTATTTTGAGGAGTATGTGTTGTGATAATTATGTGTATGTATTAGATGCATTATATGTTGGATGAATTCCATTTTTTTAAAAGAAAATCAAGATAAAAGACAAAAGTTAAGAAAGTCCATATATTAAAAGACATCTGATCTAAAAATAAAATTTAATTATGCATATCACCAATACCGTACCTTTTGCTGAATTAAATATAGCATAATTTTATTTCAGGAAACATCATGCTCTCTTAATATCATTTTAAAATGGCTTGTATCATAAATTCAGTGAACATTATCTGGCTCATGCTTTTTCCCCCCACCTACGGCATAGGTCTTTCATTTACCCAACTTTCATATTTTTAAATGAATACTCACTGAGACCACCGCATGCATCGCATGATGCCTGGCACATTGGTTGTTAGTAGTCTGGATTCCTTTATTTAGATGCTTGCAATGAATGTAGTAAGGAGGCAACAGGTACACGCGCAACAACTAAAGACTTTTTCGGAGGTGAGTGTGTCCTGGAGTGTCAGAGGTTGTATATCTGAAGGAGGCTAAAGCACAGAGGCACATGGGTGAGGGATTTAGTCTAGGGAGAATTCTCTCCAGAAGTGGATCAGGCCAGGCTTTGTGAAAAATTATATAGTGTGGAGAAGAGGAGGAGAAAATACGCTTGAGTATCTGTGTCTCTCAAAAAGTCACTTGGATAAGCTCTCCAAACATCAAACAGCACGCAGAAACACTCCTGTGGTCACCTGTGGTCTGGTGTGTCAGCCCAGAGGGCTTGCATGCTTCGTTTGCTTCCTTTCCTCCTCCTTCATCTTCCTCCTTGCTCATATACGTTTGCAGCACATGTCTTCTTTACATTTAGCAAGTCACCTAAAGCCCTTTTCCAAGTCATCTGGAGAGCTGCTTCTGCCAGGGCACTGACGCTGTGTCCCCTGGGGGTCAGAGTCCTCAAGGGGGCAGAGGGACTAACTCGTCATTTCTTTCCCCCAACTAAGTGGCACAGCTCAAAGTCTCCTATTTTTTGCCAGTTTTAACTTTTTGGTGTAGGAATCTGGTGGCAGCCGGAGTTATGCTT